TTTAGCTCTTTAGCTTTTTTGATGAGTAATAAGTGTAAAAGCAATAATGACTATTGTGTTAGTTACAAAATATGGTTGACCATTCAATGAATAAAATATTTCCCATACCGTACGTCATAAGAGTTATTATTACAATGTTAACCGGTTTCTCTTCTTTTGGAAGAACCTTTAAATGATATTAAAATCGTATTGGTCAATCTTTTGTGATAAACACTTCCGATCCGCGCTCATGCATGCGCCGTTAGCTGTTACTGTATGTGAAAGTTTGTCAACCATTTAAATCACTGTCTGGAAATGAATCAAATGCTTAAGGGTCACACTTTTGAAGCCCTTTATCAACATAAGGTTTTAAATACCATTTTGCGTTGAGCTGGATCTTAAGATTTAAAATTAGACCTTAATCATAAATATCAGTGAAGTAGTTCGGGTGAAAAAGGGCTGTTACAACTTATTTTATTAGGAAGATAGATAATGTTAAACAAGGCAATGACATATCACATGCTTAATACTAGATATTAGAGGGTAATGATTGACCGAAGAGACGTTGATTTACATAAAATAATTAATAAAATCAATTACAACAATGAATATTGGCCGATACGTGGCAGAGCTGACCACTGGGGGTAGATTTCCAGGGGTAGATGTCCGGGGGTAGATGTCTGGGGGTAGATATCCTGGGGTAGATTTCCAGTCGTGGGCTGTTTCTCGACCATGTACAAGCCCCGCCCCTCGTGACGTCAAAATGACGTAGGCGTTTTTTCATGGGGGTAAATATCCGGGGGTAGAAATCCGGCGACCCGCATTTTCAATGAAGAAACATCTGAAATATTAGTAAATTATAATTTACTATCACTGGGTGTTGTGTTAGGGAGCAAAACTACTGACAGTCACTTGACTTGTTTCCATCTTCAGAATAAAAGGAGGACGATTTAGTAATGCAGTGTTGAAGAATAGTTGTTGAGAATATTGGGAACGTCAATATATCCGACCTCGTCAATCGTTTGTCCAAGTAGGAGGTTTAAAGCCCACGCGATCAATTAATTAGTATCGGTGGGTCCAGCAGTATAATGAAGAGACCTTCGACTCTCTCTACAATAGCTTATCAATCATCTGCGGGCTCAAAGTGCCTCCTTGAGGGACGCCGCAGACAAACTCTCGCCCAGTGACATGCGCACAACCGCGCACAACTACAACGTTCATCCACAGTCAGTTATGTACAGGGTGATTGGTACTCAGTGTGACAAAAACTTTTTTACTGTTTTACTGTTCAAGCTGAAACAAAAAAAACCACTTTTGCTTAATACATGCCGACTTTCTATGTTTTAAATGTTAAAGACACCATGCTTTGTAGTCTTCAAACCACTAAAGCGTACATAAGCAGACATAAAGCTCAATGGTGTAGCATATGGTTGGAAAGCTTATAAAATGGCGCAGTTTTTAACATATTCCGACACTTTCTTGTATACAGGGTGTGAACAAATGCAATTGACCAATGTTTTTTTTTTAATTTTTATCAAACATCATAATTTTATCTTTGAATCTATTTACAGTGGAGTTTTACAATTGATCCTCTGTCATTTGGTATTATTCTTATTCAAAATTTAATGTAGAACACGAAAATGACAATATCTACTCAAATCCATTTACAGGTAATTGAGAAATAGCTGTATTAAGTTTAAAACATTGTTATTTTTGAAAAACATAAAATAATTCTTTGGGAAGCTAATTTTTAGACTTGGAACATTTAATATGCATCATCATACTGCATTTACTTTGTACTTACACAAAAAAACTTTTGTCACACTGAGTACCAATCACCCTGTATTACAAAACAGTTATGGGCCTACTATCAGTATAAAACTCTCGACGGCATTTTATCAGGACAGTAGTGTAAATATCGTATTTTGTAACCGCATCTACAGTAACTATTTCGAAAAAAATCTAACAATCCGATTCTTAAAGATAGATATATTTTTATCGGTATATTGTCAGTTGTTTGGAACATATTATCAGCATGATTTTCGTATATAGTAAAAAATGAAGTCTCATAGGGTCTACCCAGCCAAAAGGGGATTAAAGTTTGACGAGAAATGATTTCTCTAATGTGTGAGTTATAACAGATTTAAATGTGTTATGTTGTACTTTGAATCTAATGTGGAACATGCTATGAAGGGGGTCTGCAATATAAACGGCGCCAGAATTATATGCCAAGGTCGTCCGAAAATATAGCCCTGGAGTTTTAACTACTGTATTCAATAATAGGTGTATTTATACCTGCACGAATAATACAATCTTAGGTACATGATAAGCACTTTCAAAAAGAATTATTATATTACTTAAAGTAAAGGAGCTTATTTATGCAAAAAGAGGTTGATTTGGTTTCAAATTCGTGGTTAAAACTTAATCATCTACGACTACGAGTCATTAAATTTAAAAAAATTATAAATTTTATAAATTAAATTGGTTATAAATTTATTATTGTTTGAAGTTTGAAGGAAATTACTGTTTTTCACACATTTGTTATACATCTCATTATAGCATGGATTCTACTTGCGAGTAATTTGCCAAAAACGAGAAGTTTTACATCTCGATGGTTTTACAACACTTGGAGGGACTTGGAGACAATATTCTGTTCACTTTATATAGTCTGCAGTAATAAAGGCGGACTCGCGGCGACAAGCTGAGTTGATCAATAAGGCCGTGGCGGGCGGGCCGCGCGCGCGGGAAACTTGGCGTGTTGGGCGCGAATAAATCAGCTGATTTCGACGTCACCCGCACAGCTGAGACAACGGTATTTACCTTGATATTAAGTCTTTCTTGACAGTGATAGTAAGGGTCGGTGACGCTTGAGATTTTAGTTTTTAAAAGCGATTTTCTTCGGCAGACCATTTTTATTTTCGAGTTTCATGTTTTTCACACGACTCGTATTATCGTAATTGGATAATACGAGTGTAGAGAAGCACAGAACGAAGATTTCTGTATTTCAATTGTTACAATCCCGAATATTAAATTATTTTTAACTATCTTGCAATCGCAATAGTTTTAACAAGTTTAGTATTTTTTATTCATGTGTCTTTTGTACTTTTTGAGTTTGTACTACTAACAGTTTTCAAGGTAATCATCCCGCATTTTGTTATAAAAATTAATCATACGTATTCTAGACCGACCAAAGTTTAAACTAGTTAACCCGTAAGTAAAGTTATGTACAGCTTGAGTTATTAGGCCTAATTTTGGGTTTACTAGACTACTTTAGATTCATAATCAAATATCGGTTTAAAGATTAATATGCCCAAAAGCTTATTAGAAAGAGATACTTTTTTCTTGAACACAAACATTAGTTTTACCTTATCCAACAAGCAATTTATTTATTTTGAAAACTGAGTTTATTAATAAACTTTGCCTATTAGACACAGTAAAAAAAAAACTTAAATTTACGATATAAATAACATGTAACATAGATTAATAACGTTGTCCATATAAATGATTTTGAATGATTTTACATGATTCTTTTAACACTTTTATGACTATTTCATTTTTTAATTTTGATGGAAGATTATATTTTTTTTTAATTCGTCAAAAAATTTTGTAATAGTCCCTCTTGCACCAATCATTATGCCAATTACTGATATAGAATTTAGATTATATTTGTTTCTTAAATAAGTTTCACATTTACTATAAATTTTCCTCTTTTCTTCATCTACTTCTAGGGGTTGATTTGTTGAAAACATCCCATCCAGTTTTCATAACATCCAATATCACTCTAATAACAATTAATTAAAGAGTTTTCGAGCTGTATTTTAATTAACAATTTCCTCCGTGTACGTCGCACACCTGAACAACGCCGGCTCAACCGATTGTTTCGTTATTCAATTGTTACAATCCCGAGAGAAAAGGTTCTTTGGTTTAATTAATCAAGGTTTGTTTTTACCCTTTTTACCCTCTGTTTTCTGTTAGCTTATTGTCCTTTTAGAGTATTTTAACAAAACAACTTCACCAATAAATATTTTTAATTGGGTGCCATAAAATTGTGTCGCAACTTAGTTTGTTAACTGTTTGCTCGAGTGAGTCGTTACTTTTATTGTGTTGTATTTTATTTATGTATTTATATATCTTAAATTATAACAGCGGAGACAAAATATAATTAGTACTCTAACAATCTTATAACACTAATTATCAAAGTAGTGAAGTAATTTTTGAAAGAATGTTTAACCCTTGAATAGTCTTCATAAAACATATTCAGCAAGACGTAACCTTATTCATTTAACCATTCATCGCCATACATTTCTTTAGTATGCTCTATAACCTTATGGAATATTTCTTTGCTGATTTATATTCAACTTATAATAATCTGATAAGAGATAATAGCTACAAAATATAATCGATAAGTATACAGCGGTTAACTGGTTGATAACCAACTACACTCTGATCTTGTTTTGATAAGTTGACACAAGTTCATCCATCGTTACCAAACATTGTCCCACTAATACTATATTATTCTTAAAACTATGCATTGTATAAATTACATCATTAAAGAGTTGAAAGCGGACGAAGTATGGTATCTTCTGCCAAATGCTCATAATAGCGAGTTAACCGATAGCCAATAACCAACTTAATGATGTGAGATATCTACAAATCAATCATTACGAACGGACATTTATATCTTTTATTGTTGAATTAAAACGATTTCTTCTGATTTTCGAACAAATATTGTCGTAATACTGAACTGTTTTTTGCAACATTGCCACGGAGAGTTTAAAAAGGAAGGCTGAAAATTCTGGAAAACGAAAACACACCTTTGTCCAATTGTATATTGTTTTGATCAGTCACTTAAGGTACTTGCATTACACATTGATAAATATTACATTGCCATCCACCGGTTTTGGTCAAATTACATTCTATGGAGAGTTCAAGCACGAGATCCTCTGCAGAACACCCATAACCTATTTCAAAACCTTTATATTATGTTTTTCACAAACTTACACATTGTCCGTATGTTACAGGCATGGCAGGTCAGGTTGGGTCCTACTACAACCCTGCTGCAGCCTACGGGTCACTCAGCGCGGCCAGCATGGCGGCAGCAGCGGCAGCGGCACAGTCATCCATGTCTCAAGCACAGGTATGTCTAGAAATACATGACAGATGTCAAGAAAATGTCTAGAAATACATTACAGATGTCAAGAAAATGTCTAGAAATACATTACAGATGTCTAGAAACATGTCTAGAAATACATTACAGAAATAGCTTATGGTCAAAAACATAGTATACAAATGTTAAAAAATATACTTCAAAAGTGTTCCAAAAGAAAGTTGGGATGTGGAGTACTCGAGTTAGAGTGGTGTATAGCTATGATAGCAGCGTACTTGATAATTTCTACAAATTATTGTCCCCAGAAAGAGAAAGTTCAGGATAAAGAGAGAGTTGAAACCCCACATAATAGCCAATAAACAGTACTAGTTTATAGATGGAGATCTAAATATCGGATGAGCTCCAACTATTTTGTTCCTAGAGATTTTAGCGGGATTGGCTCTATTTTTGGTGATATCAATTAGAATTATATTCAAAATTGGTAATGTCAATTTTGCAATCGATCAAGCCTCTGTATCAAAATCATAATACATTCTTGCGCATTGGTCTTCATGTGTTTGCAGTTTAGTTTACACCTCTCAGAGGCCAATGTAGCACCTGTGTCTAGGCGTCCGCGATGCTACAAAGTTACTGTATCAGGTGAATGTCAGAAGCATCACCTTCGTTAGCGCCTGGCTGTAGGAATGTCGCTGTGGGTTTATCTTTGTGTAGGCCTAACTCTTCCATGTCAAAAGACTTATTCCGTGTTCCACAAGAAAGAAATATTACACCAAGAGCAGGTGTGGTTTTCTTCGTTCTGATCCTATAATGTACGGAGTGATACTTCACATAAAATATCTAGTATAAAGAATAGGACCATTGACTATACAAGGTGTACTCATGTAGGTAAAATTCCCTCAAACTACAACCCATGAATCCACAGTTCAGCTGGAATTATTATTGGTCTCAAACTCATTTTGAACTGAATTTTTTCTTCTTTTCCTCTCAACCTACTAGACAAACTTCTCACTTAAATCTGTTATCGAAATCTGCAATCGTTAACTTCTTTAAGAAAATGAATCGGTATTCTTTTATCTCTTCATAACCATTGATTTCTAGTTAAACATTAAACGTATTGGTTCCCATTGCTACAAAAACTCATTTAGCAAATTAAATATCAGAAGCTGATTCAGATTAATTATTTTCTCCAAGGCTACTATAAATCGTCTTCCATGTGCTCAACAAAACCAATAAACCAAGATTTAATCCCATAACCTGTCGTATACACTTGACACTAACATAACCTCTGTCTCCAGGTTGTAAGCAGTATGGATGCCATGAAGTACTCCATGGAAGCAGCAGCAGCAGACAAATACCGATACATGCAGCCACCCTCCAGTCTGGCTATGAGTATGTACTCGGACCCCAAGTACCTCGACTCCACTCCCAAGACCTACGGCTACCTGGACCCCGCCTTCACCAAGGCCTACTTCGAGAACAAGATGTACAGCAGTGACATCAGCCCCCGGAGTCACGGGTACTCTGCCCTGGACCTAGGCAAGCTGTACGAGCAACCACCCACCACCTCTACGTCAGAAACTCCCAGAAGCCCAGCTCAGACTCCGGAGGAACGTCCGGAGCGTGAGCATGAACCGTCGTCCGCATCCTCCACTTCTTCAACCTCTCCTGGAGGTTTCCCATACTACCAGTCCTCTGGACTAATCCCGGTCTCTCAGTATCCTGTTCCCTACCATCAACCCTCCGCATCCCAACCTTCCCCGGACTTCCGACGTCCTCTTACGGTCATCTTCTGACCTGACAAACTGTAATTGTAAATAGTTTGATGTTTAAGTGATTCTTAGGATATTACTTATCGAACAAATTTAGTCTTGTTGTACAGGGTCTCTTGATTTAGCAGTTCTATCACAACATTCATACATTTATCATGACATGCTAATCTGTTATTTTGCTGATGCACAACAATAAATGCTAGTTTTGCCTCAGAAAAATGTTCAAAGCTTTTCAAATAATAATTATTTGATTATTTCGTAATCTACAACACACTAAACGTAATTAATAGCAATCAAAGAATCATGTTATAATAGCATTTGCTATTTTATAAGCTTTCAAAACCAAACCACTTCTTTTCAATGTACAGGTACCACGTAACTCTTGTACATAACAATAAATCAATTTGGATTTGAAATTTTCGTAAATATAATGATTCAGTTTTATGTGTCAAGTCTTGTACTGTGAGGAAAGTGAGTAATATCAGCGTTTCATCAGACTTATTGATTATCTATACCGCTATTAGTTCAGCTTCTTAGCAGTAGTTGTGTGTATTTGTATTATTTTAGTTTCAACTTATCTGTTGACTTCTTAAATGATTATACTTGTGTTAATGATTTTCATGGCTCAATCGTTTTTGCCATTATTTTGTGTGTTTTTTCATTAATTGTAAGTAACTATGTATTTAACTTTGTTGCTATTTCCCATGTTTCATAGTATTAAAATAATAGCAACTTTCGAACATAAAAACAGATCAATTTTATTTCATTGTTTGAGATTGAGGTGATTTTTATTTGTAAGAAGGAAATTGTTTTGTTTGTTTCTTAGTTTAAGGCAGTTGTGAGACTTTTATTATTTATATCCTTTATATATTATATGAATTTTTGGAATTCTTGTATACAATGTTTTGTAGAATTCCGTGTTTTACCTTTAGCCTGTATAATGCTTAATGTGTTTGATTTTTCCAACAATTACCTTATATGTTACGAGATTTTGTCAGTTTTTGTTGTGTTCTTTGTTCAAGTAAAGGATTTTGTATTCCTAATTATTATCTATCGATCAAGCTAATTCTTACTAGGTGACGCTTTTTGTTTAGCTTTAGTAGAGTTTTAGTTTACAATTTAAGACTTATAAGACAATTATTTATCCTTTGTTTTTACTGTTGTGATATTATTTAGCCATGTTTGTACAACCTTGTATATATTTTGTACAGGTTATTAAGGATAGTTTTGTTAACTTTTTGTTAGCCATATTTTTATTATTAATGTTGTTGTTCCTTAACCTAGTGTTCATACCCTAGTGTTCTTCTATGTTACACAAGCCAACACAATTACTCTCAACAGTAAATTATACAGTCTTTATCTAATTTTGTCTCTTATTGAACTCCCCAGACCTCAATAGTCAAGGTTATATAGTGTTATGATTCATCAAATACTTAGTACAATTAATCGAGATGAATGTCCAATTTAATTATTTAATAGGTTTTATCTACTAGCCTACTTGATTTTAATTTAATGAAAAGGAACTCAAAACAAATAGATTAATAAATATACTAAGAACTGTAACTGAATGTGAAATTAATAAAAATGAACCTCATAACTTCTCTAATTTACATAGAAATTACGTGAAAAATAGCAAACCTATTTTACAGTTCAAGACAAGTAAAAATATAATTAACTATAACTTCTTGAATTTAGATTTTTATTTTGTTGCAAGCATAACTCCTCTGGTTCATTTAATAAGTAAAACTTATATTATTTCCGAAGGTTCAATAAATATTGGACAGTTACGAGTGCAAATTAAAATATCTACTAAATTAATGCTAACTTATAGAGCTTGCATTGAAGTTGAGTTCATTAGACCTTCTCTGGAAAGGTTTTCCATTTTTATCTTAATCAGTCTTATCTTAGAACTTGTGTTACTTTCAGATTTTTAAAGGCAAAGTATTGCTAAATACATTGATCCCAGCATGTGATGAATTTTTAGAACTAAGTCTAATGTCAAAACAAAATAAGACCTATGTCAGAATAGTAGGCTAGTTTACGCAGATCTGCGTATACTACTTTTTAATTATTTACACAGTTTTTTAATTATTTACAAAACAATCACTAATATGTTTTCGTTTATAACCACCTCAATGCCACTGACAGTGATGCAACGAATCATTGTACCAAACACTAATTGCACTCATCAACAATTAAATTGATCCAAACAGCTGATTAGTTGAGTTCGAAGCATACAATTTTACTTCTTCTCTCTCAATCCCTAAACCAATGGTCCATTACCGTGTTGTTAAGTAAAACTATGCAGTTATATAAGTAAACAATGCTGTTATGTGATACTTTTCAATTCTACGAACTGAACTGAAACAGCTACATTTATACATTGATATTACTACTGGGACATTATGCTTTAGTATACTCTCTACATCGACAATGCTTTGTCTAACAGACAATCGTGTTTGTCAGACAGACTATTCAACATGACACAAAACAGTCAAGCCCAAACCAGAGACGGCTGAGCCAATGTGTTAAGTTGAAGGCATTATCAAGTTTCATATTGATAAAGTTTTGACACAGTCAAGCGTTATGGACTAACCCCAACTTGGTCTTCTGCAAGACATGGATTGTGTGCTCAAGCGATGAACGGACGTCGCTATGGTATTCTGGAGTGGCAATGACGTTTGCACAGTGTTAAATGGTTTGTTTAATTTAAAAATTTGAATTTTCAAAAAGAACTTGCTTTTTGTTGAGTCGATGCCTTAAAGGTTTCGATATTATCTCATTTTACCACAAGGAGCTGTTTATGGTACTCAATCACGAATTGGTAGAAAACTAAACATCGAAATGCTGGTGAATACACGTCTGGTATTTCAAATAAAGTGTAGAGCTACAGAGTATTGTATTTATATCCAGTTTGTTTTATACTTTGTAGTATTTATCAGGGATGCAAGGATGTTTTTTTAGTCTACCAAATGTTTGTGATATACCAAATTAATACTTGCGGAAATTGAAAATCTTGTTACTAAAATGTTGTCCAAAAAGTCCAACTAAAACAGACCAGTTTATCATTACTGTAGAAGGTTTTACGTCAAAGAAATCTCAAAAGCCTTCCTCAACGGTTAGTGACATTCTAAAAGGGGAAGTCGAAAATTTAAAGAATAAACAAACAAAACTACATGTATCTTGATCCTCGACCTCGATGGATCGGAAAACCATAAACTACCAATAGTTGACAATGATTCACAAAGCATATATAAAAACCAAGAAGCTTGTATGAAGGCGTGAATGAACTAATTCGTCGACAATCCCCTTACAGAGATTGCAGTGTAGTGCGTATATTGTTGTATTGTATTATGTCTCGGAGGTCTATTGTCCGTGCACGGGACAGTACAAGGGTTAATTTGGTCAGACATCGGCCCACTATAGCACAATAGGGCACTACACAGTACACTGTACAGACGCTCCTCATAATAGACCCTGTGTCGGTTTTGTTATTATTATTGATAAAACAGTATATAATTTACTTCAGATACATAATAAGCTTATGTTTACTATTTTTGCTGCACTGTTTTATGAAACAATTGTTTTACAGTACTTGCATTGCGGGGTATCTATCTTCTATATATAAATCCAAAAGTACCCATGAACTTTTAAAAAACTACAAGTCACACCCCCATAAACCATATACTTAAAATGTTCGTCATGACGAGAAACCTTGCGCAAAACTATCCATTATTTCATAAATTGCCCTTTAAGGTCGTAATTCCTTTCTAAAGGGAACTTTCCATGTACCTAATGTTACAAATACTGTACTTATTTGTTTGTTATTCTGTCAATTTAATAAGTTATTTAGTTAATAGGTAACTAGTTTTTTGATTAAGTTACTTTTAAAGAAAACTACTTCATTAAAAGACTAGGACGGTGGCATCGTCCTGTAATCCAGCTACTAGGAGGTCACGAATTGTGGATATTTATAGGCATGCACTGTGGATGCGATGCTCCATGGTGTGGATTAACGTCCGCACTAGTGAGTAGTGAGTACTACGACTATCCGCAGTACTATCCTGATAATTAGACCAATTCGAATCACAAGGGAAAATGTGGTTCGGATTCCACTATAAACTGTAGGTCCCTTATACCATTGGCTGTATGTGTTATTAATTAACAGCTGTGTCTAAGGAACATGTCAGCCTTAGTCACTACAAGACAACAAGATCGTGCCACTCATCCTACACTCCTCTCTCACTCGAATTTGGATTAAAATACACACCTAGTGGCGTCCCATCTTAAATAATTGATATAATTGATTGATGTTTCTGCACGTATTTGTCGATACAAATAAAACACCTTTCGAGTTTTACTAAAATCTATTAACCTACGAAATTGAATTCCACGAACGAATAACAACTGCTTATTAAGTAAAACCTTAAAACCCAGCACCAAATTGAACAATCGTCTTTTTGAGAATTTCACGCTTTCTCGCCGATCTACAACGGGTCTGAACAAAGCTGCCTCATATGCAGAGTATGAGCGAGTAGGCCTATAGTGGTAATGACTGTACAAAGAGCTGCAAGAAATATTAGAGATCAAAGTCGCAGCGATCTACAGCTGTTGAGGGTAATGGGTATGAAACAGAGTAATTAGGCAAGGCAAAGGCACCAACTCGACAATACCCCTCTCATTGCTATGAGGTGGCTTCATTGCTTTGTCTCGTGTTGGTCAAAATTAGAGTTCAGGATCAAATACGATTATAAGTAGTAACTTTAATAAATGATTTTTTTCCATAAAGGAGTAGACTATTTTTGTTGCATCGCTTTATCTTTATTTGTTTTAAAACTCTCTTAGTTTTTTCCCAGGGGCACGCAAACAAAGCAAGGGGTGAGCCAGTTTAGTAAAAGAATTGTATTGATTGATTATACGTTCAAGAATAGATTTGTTCACTGTATAGATTCGTCAACTCGTTGCGGTATCCTGTGGAGCCACCAACTCAACAAAACATAGGCTACACTTTTACATAAAATTTATGAAAACACACAATACATTTTTATGATATTTTCCTCATAACATTACCCTAATGAGTTAATGCCTGCATATTTTTTTATTAAATGAGAAACATTAATTTAGTAATTGCTCAATTATCTGAGATACAAAGAGCCGTAATTATTTTTGTGGTTTCCAGCGCCATTGGAATTTTCAAAACTTTTTTTGTAAGTCAAGGGTTTGAATTCTCTTCTTGTTATAATCTAGCATTTACAGTTCATCGATGTACTCTTAAGGCAAGTCATCTCGGGATCATATACAATTTGGATATAGGTTCCGTTACTCGGTTAGTAATGCTACTTCACGATCACCACTTACCATCTTTTTCATTTACACTCTCTCGGGGGATTATCGGATAGTTCCCGGCGCTAGCCAGAAACTTAATCATGTCAATCGTGCTTGATTTGATATTATTTTGATTATGTCTTTCCTTATTAGAACGTATAGACAAGGCCCGTTTATGGATAGGTATTTATTTAACTATCATGCCTCGACAAGCTGAAATTCAGAAATGAATAAAATTAATTAAGAGTTCTGTCTTGATCAAACACAAATATCAAAAAGTGATTTTACAAGGTCATGCATGATTCAATACACTTCACTGCAGGTTTTAACAACAGTTATCAGTAAAAAAATTGCAAAGATAGTCTCCACAGTGCACCTGTAGTTAAAATTAATCGTTTTATACCATTTTTACCAAACACAAACTTCAAATTAATCTTAAACATAGAAATAAGAAACTTTTTAAAGAAAATCATAAAACATGTGGGTTAAAATAAAATCGAGTTTAATTAACCGTAAATGAGTTACGCCGTTGCTCAATGTTCGAGGCTACTGTATTGGTGACAAGAGTTAATTCAGCAGCCTATCAGGCTATTGTGAACCATTGTGGCTATTGTGAACCATTGTGTGCCATTGTGTCTTCATTGTGTAGACAACGGACTGAGCAGGCCCCAGAGGTCTAACTATCTCCGTCTTGACATCCATTGGTAGGCGGAGTTTGGACATAGTTGTTAAGAAAAATACATTCTGGTACTAATAATGTGAAAGTGGAGAAACTAAATAAACTTGTTTTCATAGCACGCTGAAAGATTGGAAAATATTAAAACATAAGGTGGGGAAATACATTTTTATGTTTAACCATTTTTTTAACAACGTCTGCAATCAATAAATACGAAAAACAAGCTAATTCAACAAACACTAAGTCATGCCACACAGGAAAGAGCAACAATGGTAATTTTATAGTAATGATTATAACGCAGCACATAGAGTTAACCCTCGATTATAAATTTATTTTTATTTGAATGATTAAACTTCATTATTT